AGTATAAATTTATCGAGATTTAATTTTAAACCGTGTTCCATGAATCTTATCTTGTAATTAATTCAATTGTTCTCACTTAGGATCACTATTAGTTTTTATCAATTTCCAGAAAGATAAAAAAAAAAGAGTATTCGCATAAGCTTGGAGTGTTATTCGTAGTATATAATTTTTGACTTTGAACTACTCTCTGTATAAGTTGATCATTATCATTAATATCAATTTGTTTCTTTTTCAGGTCTCAATTTTATAATATTAGGGTTACATTAGCCAAATTTGGTCCCCTACGGTGTGACATCTCTAATTAATCAACAGCTAGGACCACTTTTGTTTCAGTCATTCATCTTTTGGAATAAAAATTTTGTTTTCTAGCAAATCTTTGAATTATTTTAGCAATGAAACTTTTAAGTATGCCAACTGCTAATTCATTTCATATTTTAAAACCCAGTGCATTGCTTAATCTTCTAACCAGTATGTTGATTGCTTCGGCTCTTTCTTTCTTGGCCATATATGTGAATGACCAAAAAAACTTATAATCCTTGATTGTGTTGTTGGAAGCTCCATTTCATTGCACGTTGACGACTGTTATGGATGACAATCTGTCTCAATTAACTGACGTCTCAAATACATGAATGAGAAGAAGTCAGGAGAAGATAATATTAAGAACATCATTCATTTTCATAATTTTCATTTTATTAAATCTAACTCTACCACCAAAATTTACTTTTTTTTAGTTTTAATTTATGTTTCCACTAATTTCATTTATTAAGGGTAAATAAAAAGTAAATAAATTTTGTCTAAATATTATAATGTAGCTTATAAAAAATTCTATAACTTTTTTTTAGAATATATATATCATAGAAAAACATAAGAGAGAAATACCATCATTGAGAAGGTGCCATACGAAACTTCTAAATTTTATCCACACTAGCTAGTTGCATTTGTTTTAAAACTAGATTAACAAGTTATGTTTTAGAGAATTTTAATAAATCTAATTAGTTATAAATAGTTACATCGTTGATAATAAGTATTAAATTTGCATATTTATACTAATTAATAATTTATCATAAAATGTCAAATTAATTATTTTAATCGATAATTTGAAGGATTTTATCAAATATATTAATTTATAAAATTAAAATAAATAGATTAATATATAAAATTAAAATGAATAGATAATTTGTATAATTTCTTAAAATATAAATAAATAACAAATTTTAAATAACATATCTATAAATGTTTAAATTATATAAAATTTGATATACATAATTATTCGTATGATATAAGATGCTTCAATCATTGAATTAATTGATCTTGCATTTTATTTAGTACTGTATAAATGAAACTGCTCTCAAAACTATATAATCAATTATAGAAACATTAATATGTTAGAAAGTTACATCTCACAAATTTATTTAAACACGTTAGAATATTATGTTATTAAAAAATATATTTAACAAGGTCTTTAATTAGATGTCTTTCATAATATTAATTCAAGCTAATGGTCTTCATGAATAAGAAAAATTTATTGTTAAATTTGTTAGTGGGTCAAAATATATATTTCTCCTATTTTTAAGCTAGGTTTGGTTGCTCACTTAATATTAAATTCCTTAGGTAAGAAATAATTATATTGTATCTTATACAACTCTTAGATAGTCAAGTGAATACTACTTATTTTTATTTATATTCTGAAATAATGTCTAATTTAATATTTTTAAGTATTTCAATTCTATTGATCATAACTTAATTAAGTCCAAACCCAATGTTGATAGATAGATATTAATTCTATCTCATATTACCTTACTAGTATAAATAAAGGCACCTTACTTTGGTATATGTTCATTTGATATTTTTCTTGACAAGCATTATGCAGTAGAAAGCATAGACTTAATATATATTTTTTAGGGCCTTAGCACATTTATGTTTATTGAGTTGTTAAATCATTTAATAAAACATATACCATGCATTTCATACATAAATGTTATATAATTATAGCCACTTTAAAGTATATAACATAAGAAATTTTCTTCTCCTCCACTTTCCTATATAGGAATCTCCTTAAGTATTCTCACATATGTTTCATGGATTTACAAGATATAGTAACAAAATTCTTTTAAATTTGAAGGAGGAAGATAAAAAGATAAATACAACTTGGGTATGAGAGAATAGGCACAACATACTTTACATTTGTTTAATTTTTATATTTTCACTGTTTTATAATTTTTTGTTGATTTTTTAAATGGGCTGATGGGCTACCTCCAAGTTTACTTTTAAACTTAATTATAAGGTTTACACACATATAAACATTAACTAATTAAAAATTTCTTATATATTTTCTTCTACACTTGTTCTCTTTTCTTTTCTAATTCTCTCTTTTTTATCCGTCAAATATCTTTCTTTCCCCTAATTAAATCTAGAAGGATTCATGTCCTAACCGATATGTGTAAGTGTATGTGATAAATAATTTTATACTATATAATTATTCATGAATAATAAAGACTCAAAAAAATTTGAATTATGATCACTCAAAAAATATGCATCTTTTAAAAAATTCACATAATATTTATATTTTAATCTTAACTATTCATGATAAAACTTATTTTCTGTATATATACAGTGATAGGATTTGGTTAATATAAGAAATGACAAAGATAATCTTTCACCTAACAACACACTCTAATGATAAAAAGTTATGATTAAAATTTGTTTAAGAGAAGACTTATTAAAAATGAGGATAAAGATAATCATGATTTAGGGTATATCATACTAATCTGAACTAAACGAAACAAAAATTAACTGGTTGATCTAAAATATAATTAATTTCTGCAATAATTAATCATATTTGGGTATGCATTGAGTCTCTTTTAGTCACCTTATCTAACCATATTATAAATTAAAAAAATTATGTAATATTTAAATTTTAATATATATTTTATAAAATATGAATGTTTGATGAATAATTTATTAAATAAATATGTATGAAGATTTTACTTTTTAAATATAAACATGATTACTCATCTTCAACACGTTGATTTTTTTATTTTTTATTTTTATGATATCAACACGTTGATTGTTGATTTGGGTAAGATGTTAAGAAAAATAAAAGAAAATTTAACTAAACCTAATTCATTATGCTTTGGTCAAAATAGGTATTCTTTTCCGTTGAAAATATGAATGATTTAAATTAAGAAAATAATAATTATGTAATTTGTTATATATATATATATATAACTGATTCAATGTTTAAGGTAGTTAAATTAGTGATAGTCAAATATATATTTTTAATATTGAATTTTATATTAAACTTTAAATTAGTGAAAATATCATATCATATGTTTTGTTTAAGAAAAAGTTAATAATAAAACAATAAACGATAAAAGTGTATATGGATCTTTATAATTTATTACTGAAGTTTAATATAGTTAAAATGAATATTTTAAATTAAAAAATTTGACGAATTTAAATCAATTTTAGATCAAATTAATGAGACTTCAAAAATTGTTAATTAATTCTAAAATTTTTTGACTTTTAGATTTAACAAAACAAAAAATTAACTAATTTCTTATTGAAATTATCAAACTGATGGATTGAAACTAGTTTTATCAAACTTAAATGTGTTATAAAGTTAAACGTAAAATTACAATGAACTTTCCATTTTTAATTTTACTTTCACACCTTTTTTAATACAAATGAGTTTATTATTTATAAGTCTAAGTTTACGATTAAAGAATCTCATATATTTAAATGTATAATTAAAGAAATAGTTACAATCTTTTAAATAACAAAGAATACAAAAAAAAATTAGATAAATATACGTTCAGCCACAATAATATATAACAAAATATAATATTATAGGTATTATTAATAATATTTTTTAATTAAAATTAAAATTTTACTTTGATAACACATACTAACTCTTAGTACCGGTATAATATCGAATTTCATTATATATATATATATATATAAATTATTGTTATCTAACTCTAACATTGATTGATGAACAATATTAATAATACTTATCATAGAACAATATATAAAAAATAACTTATAACCCTCATAAGCTGTTTTTAAGTTTATTTTAAAAAGTAATATTATTAAGTTTATTATATAAGTCATTATTTTTTTAAAAATTATTAAATAAAATTTTAAACCCAGAATACACCTAAATTGTGTTGACGTAGTGATTAATTAATTAGCCAATTAATCTACTATGTAGGATATACAGTGCATGGGTCCACCTTTTAAAAATGCAGCCTAGGCAAAATAATTGACATGGAATAGGAGGTTAATTCAAACACGAATTGGCCCTTTCTCGGTGGCCATGATCTATGATAAACTTGAAAGAGCTTTTTTGTTACCATTATTTTGATTAAGTTGACCACTCATCAGCACAAAGAGAATATTTCGTATATATTTCACAGGTCATGGATTCGTGTCTAGTATAGACACCTATAATCTCACATGAAAGTTTCAATCAGATTTGGGATTTATTTTAATCTCTGGGGACAAAATCTACATACCAAAATGATTCTTTAAACTATGTTAGGTAAATAAATAAAATTAATAGGACAACAGTACACATTACGTGTATTATTTATTTAGTATTATAAATTCTTGAAATCTTGTGCAGACAACTGCCCATATCCCCCACAATGGACAGAGATATCAATAACCTGTTTCAAAAGAATTTATTTTTTATGCCAATTATTTAATTATTTGTACAGGTTGTTTTTAAATTTATTCAAAAGAAAGATATATCATATATTTTTAAAATGTAAATAAAAAAACTCAGAGAATAGTAAAGAGAGAAGGATTTTGAATTTGCTAAGAAATTAGAAAATAAATTATTAATATTTGTTGAAAATCAATCTTGCAACGATGGTCCACAAAAGAAGCTGTGGCATAAACAAGAAGATTGATGCACCAGATATAACACAACATAAGGCAATCACGCACCAAACTGAACCTTGAAATTGTTAACCCGAAGGGAACATGAGATTAAGTTAATTCACACCACAAAATATGTCTGAAATGCCACAAAATGCCTTGATCCGGGAATCAGATTTTATGGCTTCTTCTGTGAGAAAGAAACGGAGGTATCCATAATGGTCAAATGGTTTATAACGTAGAGGATGTTCTTCATCAACTAGCTCCCCTTCTGGTTCCATTATCTTACCAGCATATGAAAGTAGTCCCATGGAGTATCTGTCTATCTTTGAATTTATTATAACTCTATGTTCACAAGCTGGTATCCTGTCATTACTCCAAACCTGTGCCATAATGCTTTTAATTTTGATAATAAGAAATTATACATATATATGAGATGGGAGCATAATGAAAATTAATACATATACACCCCCTTCTTTGTACAAAATGGAAATCGAAATAATTATAGAAAATAAAATGCACCTTATTTTCATTTTAGTTACTATTTTTTCTTACTAGTAAAAGTGAGCTACATTTGCTATGAGGAAAGCTTTATAAATATTCACTTTCTCAAGTTTCATATATAATTGCCCATAAGACTCTAACTTAATTTCTTGAAGGAATTACCTTGAGAAGTGTCTGGCACTTTGATTTTACCTAATCTTATAATTTTTCCTCGTACCTTTAAATTTTGACATTCAGGCATTTGATTTATTATTATTAGCTTAAATTAACATTTTGGTGTCTGAAAGATAGGATTGAAATATGACACTACATATCTTACATTATTTTGTTTTCTCTATATGTGAAATTTTAGGAAATTGTTATGAGAAATGAAGTAAACTGATAAATTTTAGCTAAAGATTGAGCAAAAGTGACTCACCATGAGTGCATCGCCACCCATTACCAAATAGAGTAAGGGTGCGGCACCCACTTCAAACCATTCCCCATCCTTCAATTTGACTCCCAAGCCTTCTACCTTCTGATTCAATATTGTTAGAAAAGCAGTGTCAGAATGAGGAGCCACTCCCAAATTGCTCTCACCAACTTGGGGGATTCTGTATTTGTAGCCACGGAGCACGTACTCAGTTGAATCAAGTAAAGACTCAAATTTCTTCCTCTCCACTCCATAGCTCTCAAACAACATCCTCTTCACAATATGGTCCAATTCCACTAGTTGCTTTGCATATGAATTAACACTTTCACTGCTCAAAAACAACAGAAGGAAAACAAATGATCAATATAGTCCCAAATGTACTTTTTTAAATTATATTTGTTTTACCCGTTACATTTGACCGAGACCAGTGCAATTTTTACTCCCTTAATTTGTTAACACTCAATTTTTATAACTTTTACATTTTATCTAGTTCAAAAATAAGATCATCTCTGATGAAGGATGAAATCAAATTAAACATTTAATTTATGAATAAATATGTCGGAGAATGAAACCAAATTAATTTTCTGGATTTAGTAAATAGTTAATTACTTGAATAACTTCATTTTTTGAGCTACTAAAAGTTGATAACTTACGTATATCATTAAAAAAAAAATTCTCTCTGTGATTGTTATTTTTTTTTTTTTACATTTTTATATACACATATTTAAAAAATACACCCTAAACATAATGAAAACACAAAATATTAGAAATTTAGAGTTAATTTATTTCTAAAAGTTAATTAATAAGAAAAGAAAAACATATAAAAAATATTTAGACTTGATTTCTAACCTATGTAAAACGTCTTGGTACAAAACACCTGAAAGTGTTATTTTATATTAGAAGTAAAACAATATTTTGCATACCAGAAATGAACATTTCCTCGAGGCCACATAATGTGTGTAAATCGCTGACAATCCTCCATGCTAAGTGGGTTAACGATACCCACAGATTCATATAAAGGAATCCCAGATCGCTGCCCAGAGTAGCTAAATATGGGTTTTTCAGTGGTCTTTCTGCGTTTTGTTTCTATTGAGAGGTCAAAAAAATGTTCCATTGCAGAGTAAACAGAATTGTATGTCTCGGAAACAACCTTATGATAGAGTGCCAAGAAACCACCATGATCCTCAAGTGCACTACGCACTGCTTGACAAGCTGAAACCCATTTGTCACTACCAGGTTTCAGGTTTGGGTTAGTGAAGTCTATAACGGGAAGCTGAGACTGTGTTTGGGATCCCATGATCTTGACCTTCGACGTAATAAGCCATCATCATTAGGCCAATTGATTCATTTATATAACTTCATTGGACTTACTGAGTTTAATTTAATTAGCCTTTTCTTTTTGTTCTAGAAAATCTTAAACCTACTATTACTTGGGTTGGGGGATTCTTATCACTGGCTCGCGGAGTCGCGGTTAATAAATGTAACCAGGGTAGCAAGTTATTCAATTTACTTTTGGTTTTATTCGCCTGAAATATTTATACTTCATTTAGTTTATGTTAAAAATATTAACGTCAACCTTAGAATTCAAGATAAGCCACCAATACTAAGTAAAATCTTTTTTAAAAAATATTTATTATATTTTTATAGTAATAATATGCACTTTTTATAAATTTTTTGTTTACTAATGTTTTTACTCAGCCGAAGTTAACAAATGCCTAAATTAATTAAGGATTTAAAAGTTAAAAAAATATTTGATAAAAGGCTCTTTTAAAATTATAAAAGTTATTTTTTTTCTCTTCCTTTAAAAAAGATTTTAACCTTTATATTTTTATAACGACTTTTTAACATGTATCTAAACACATATTATAACAATAATAATAATAAATTGTAATTAGACGAAGCAATCAAAAAATTTTAAAATTTTAAAATCTAAATAATATAAATTATATCATTTTAATTTTTATTTATTTTAAAATATCTTATTTAAACAGTTCTAATAAAAGTTTAGTAAGAGAGGAAGAAAGGGTGAAAAAGAGAGAAGCGATGAACAGAAAGAGTGATTGATTTACTCAATGTTAACTTCTAATTTATTTGAGAAATTTTTTAAATTGTCATTGTTAGATTGGAATTTAAATTTTTTTAATTTTTTTCTAATAAAACTTTTCACTGAAATTTCTAAATTTTTGAAGTTAAATTCTTTTTTATTTTTATTAGCAGTGGAAAGTTTAAAGAGATTGATAACAAGTGTCATTTTAAAAAGTCTTTTTTTTTAGGGTTAAAGTTAATAATAAACCAGAAATTTCACTGTTACAAATTGCAAATGATATTTTGATTATAGACGAAATTACTAAGTAAAATATATGGATGTCAAAGGCTGTTTTACGAAGCTTTGAGCTTATATTCAGACTTAAAATTAATTTTCATAAGAGTTGTATTGTAGAGTGGATGTGACAAATGATTTTCTAGACACAGCATCTTGATTCCTAAATTGTATGATAGGATCTTTGCTTTTTTGGTATTTAGGCATCTATGTTGAGGATAAAATAAGAAGAAAAAGTACTTGGTAAAAGCATATTAAGGTACTTAATTGCAAACTTGCATCTTGAAAGCACAAATACATCTCTATTGGGAGTAAAGTAATATTTTTTAATGTCATTTTCAATAGTTTTTCACTACATTATTTATCCTTTTAGAAAATGCCATCGAGTGTAATTAAGGATGTGGTGAAAATTCAACATCGATTTCTTTAGAGTGATGTGAAGGAATCATTAAAAATAGCTTGAATTTAAATGACAAAGAGTATGCACGTCAAAGAATGAGGGCAGTCTAGAGGTAAGAAATGTGGAATGGTTCAATTAGAGTTTGTTGAGTAAATAGATTTGGAGAGGATTAAAGTCTCCAAACTCGTTGTGCTTTGATGTGTTATAGGCGCAATATAGATCATGTGCTAATATGTTAATTCCTTTGGAGGTAACTCATAGTGCTTTACATTGGTGGAGGGACATAGTGTGGGTTTGTAAGCAAGTCGATAGATAGATAGATTCTAATGTCACACAAGTACTTAGCGATAGTTGTTCTTTTAGTTTTTAGAACGATAAATGGGCGAAAAATATTGCATTAACAATTTTATACTCAAGACTGCTTTCAGTAACGATTAATAAGGAGGCGCGTGTGGTTGATAACAGACGATTTGATATAGGTCATTGGGTGTGGTAAATTCCTTGAAGGAAGCAATTTTTTTCATGGGAGGAGAATTTACAGTAGTATTTGTAGAAAACTATGAAGGGTAAGAGACCGAGAGAAAATGTGAATTACATATTGATGTGAAAGTGTGATAATGACAAGAAATATAGTGTGTAATCTGTTTATCACTACATTCATCATTTCTTCATTGCAAGTATCGATTTAGAGTTGTGTCTAATGTAGGTCTTACGCAAGATTTGGAAGGTCAGTGCGCTGAGGAAGGTAGTGGTATTCATTTGGTGTCTATTGCTTAATGCAATCACAGTGCATAATAACTTGCTCAAACGTGGATTGACAATTCCCTCAAAAGCTTGTGGGTTATATGATACTGAAGATGAAGACATATTATATCTTTTTTTGCATTGTAGTGTCTCCATGAAACTATGGTACATGGTGTTTGAATGGTTTAGTATTAGTTTATGTTTACTTAAAAAATTTCATGAGGCATTACTAAGTATGTATGAAATCTAATGTGAAAAAGAAATGGAAGGGAGTTGTAATGGTATAGTTTGTGGTAATATGGATAATTTCGCTTCAGCAAAATAATATTCTCTTTAATAATAATGTATTAAATGTTAGTGAAATATTTTATTCTGTTAAGTATCGTTCTTAGAAGTGGCTTGTAGTTAGGGATGAGAATGGGTAAAGTACTACAGTATCCATCACATACCTGCGTTTTAAAAAAATATATGTATCTAGCCCTATACTTGCGTGGATAGTAATTTTAATCCTTATACATGTACTCTTTGGATACCCGCATACCCATATCCACCCTTATTTGTATAAGGAAAAAAAAACACTTATAAAAAAACATAATTATATAATTTTACATAAGTAGCATAATAATATAAAAATTTGATATGTAACTACCTTAAACCCTGAAAGAAAACAAATATTTAAATATCGCTAGTAAGTGTATCTTAATACATCAACTTTCTATTTGAAGAAATTATTCTACATATATTTTTCATTTGTTATTATTAATAAATTTCTAAACATTTTGTATGTGTTATATATAAATAATATTTTTTAAAAAAATTCAATTTCATGCCAACCATATAATAATTAAATTGTATTAGCTTAGTTAAATGATATAAAATAGTAAATAATTTTTTTAAAAAATATAAAAAATTATTTTTATAGTTTACTTTTTTTGTAAACATATTTTTATGTTAATCGTATAAAAAAATTTTAATTAGATAGCTGTTTATATCTTTAAATATATATTCTTTTATTTGAGTAACATAAATATTTATATTAAATTTTTTAATCTTTTATTTTGCATAGAAAAAATTTTAAAAATAGAGAATTATGAATTGAAAGATAATATTATTCAAAAATTTAAAATAGAAAATTTTTCCATTCAAAAAATAAAAATAATTATGGCCTATAAAAGAATTTTAAATTGAGTAAAAAATCATGAGACATGAAATTAAATAAAATAAATAGTAAAATCTTTATCATGATCAAAATTTTATAAAAGCCTCCACAAAAACTTTATAAAAACTAAATGTGAGTTAGGTTCTTGTTTTCTTAAATTCTGAGATGCTCCATTGTAAGTAAAAAATTATTTAAATGAGATTATTTGAAATTAGAATAATAAAGATAATTAGAAATACAAATAATAATTATAATAAAATTTTAGACTTACTTGTTGAAGACTTACTTTGTATAAAAGTTGTTGTATTTGACCTTTGAATTTTATGAGAAGTAATAGGTTAGATTTTCTGTGTAAGTCACACTCCTAAAATACAACTATGAGTAGGATAAGTTGTGAAACAACTCATATGATTACATATTTGTCAATGATTATAAAGGAGACCTATTCAAATATATAAAGTATTAATCTTAATTCTCTCTTTTTGGATTAAGACTTCCCTCACATAATAATAATAATAATAAAATAATATATATATATATATATATATATGCGGGTATGGGACAAGACAAAGTGGATACTTAGGTATCCATGTTTGCACCCATCTCCATTGAATTTTGTGAGTATTTTTTCATACCTATATCCTTATCCATTTAAAGGATAAATACCCTACCCATTAAGAGTAAATTTTGCAGATAACATCAGGTACTTTACCCATTGTCAATCCTACTTACAGTAGAGTCTCTAGAAAGATCGATTGTATAAGTGAATTAGATTAATGATCCAATAACATGTATTTTAATTTCCTTTAGAGTTGTAACAAGTTAGAGTACCTCTTGTACTTTAAATTTTTCTTTAATAAAATATTAATATTTTAAAAAATATATATTAAAAAAATTAACATAGAAAATTATAAATTTTTCAAAAAGATAAATTATCCACCTAAAATATTTCATTCAAAAGTTAAAAATCATGTTACAACTTAAATGCTATAATTTTTTATAAAATTTTATTATTTATTAATTTTTTATTATGTATTTTTAAATAGAGATAAAAAATGATTCTTAAATATCTGGCTTAAGAATTAATGATAAAATTATAATTATTTTATGCAATATAATTAAAGTGTTTTTTTTTTCCTATTCAAAAGGACACATTTTAGTAAAAATCTTTTTATCTTTGACATAATTACTAATTAGATTATGTCTTTGGCAATAAGTACTTAACCAAAAATAAGTTGCTAGAAGTATTTGGTTGAAGCTTTGTTTTTCCATTTTTGAAACTCCAAACTTAAAAGATCTAATTCGATAAGTTATTGAAGATTAGAAGTATTAGCTCATGAGTTAGGACTTGTTTGATTTATTTCTCTCTTATTTCTTCCTTGTTAATTTCTAGAAATACGTGTTTACCTCCTCTTAATTAACATCCTTATGTTTAATAAAACATATATGCATGCTTAAGTATTTTATTTATTTTGTTTTTTTTTTATGAAATATACTTTATGTAATGATTGTGATAACAATAAAAGTAAATATAAAGTAATTAAAATTTTAGTAATTATATGTATAAACATCCATGCATAAATATCATTTTTATTACTTAGTATGTATCAGTTAGTAAATAATTTTATTTTATTAAATATTTTAAATTAAATCAGCTAGGTTATTGTATTTCAA